TTATTTATTCCAAAGTTTGTTGACCTACAGCAAGGCAGAGCATTAGTGTAAATAATTAGAACTGTAAAGGATGGATGGATTGGATGGAACACTGGTTGGTCAGAGGGGATTGCTTTCCATTGAAAGAGGTGATGAAAGGGTGGTTTCATGTTGGGCAGCAGGATGTGGTATTTCTACTAATAGAAGAAGACCTGTCTTAATATTTTTGTTAATGAGCAAAGACGGAGCAGGTTACTGTTATGCAGAAATGGAGGTGCAGAATCAGGAAATTACCTGCCATCGCTGTTAGAAATGAGGGTCTGATTCCACACAGTGCCCAGAGCTAAATACAGTCTTCTCCTCTGCTGCTGTCATGACATACTGTTTCCAGGATAAGAAATGTATGCCTCCGGTTGATGTCTGCACTTTTCTGAGCAGCTGTGTTCCGCACCAGTTTGCCCTTTAAATTCAAACTTTTATAAAACTCTCTGAATAGGCCATGACTTATTTCAAGCATCATTTGAGGTCAAACTGCAAATCTCTGCTTCAACAAGGGCACGGCATCATCATATAGTACAGTTTTCAAAATGTTACCATCCTCAACAGTAACAAACTCATGGGCTGTAAGAGATGTTTGTATTATTAACAAAGAGAACAGGAGGACTGAAGTTGTAATGGTGCATGTGCTCTTCATGTTTCAGGTTTGGAAATCTCTGCCACTTTATCTGAACTCTAAATGGTTCTTTTCTTATGTTGAAAGATCCAGAGTACTAGTAGAACACATGAAGGTAGAGAGGACATTGACTGAGCTATAGCTGTGGTATGGTGGGATGACATATCAGCGCTGTAAAATTCATTAGTTTGCTGTTAGTTTTGTTATATGAAATTTGACTTTCTACTAAATCTGTTATCCCTGATTAGGTTGTGGCATTGTGTGCATGTTTCTTTGTGAGTCTTGTTGTACAGTATTTCCTTAATTAAGGTTCAGGAGAGTTAATGGATGCAAGCCTGTTAAAGTAAGTAGTTCTTATGGCTTCGTAACAGAGCAGCAGCTCAGCGCAGTATATCCACAAAATGTAGTGCTAACCCTCGCTGTTGGACTATAGGCAGCAGATAATATGCATTGTGTCTGACTGGAGTCTGTTGGTGTGGAATATCCTATTGAATATTTACACTCACCATTTCAGAAGCATGATACGTCATCTGTCTTATTTATTGATGAAGGATCAGCTTTCCTCTCTCTGTCTATGACTCTGCATATTCACATACACACATGAAGGAACAGGGAGCACAAAAATACACAGTGTGTGTGTGTGTGTGTTTTTAACCACATATAACAACCCCCTGGCAATGATAGAAGGATGCAAGGTTGGCATCAGTACTTGCAATGCATTGCTTAATCCTATGTGTTCCACCAAAGTAATATTTAGTTAATGGGAAAGGAAATTGACATTTTGAATGGATTAAATCTGATGGGATTTCAGCAGAATGCTTAAGGCTGGTATGCAAATACCCCGAGAAGGCACTGTTGTAGTTTCGTAGGGATTTTGAAAGTTGAATCTGGATCGGTGCCACATGTAATTGTAATGGAACAACAGAAAATTGGGTTGTGGCAGCTGTTTAGTTCTGTCAGCTTCAAGGAATCTTGAAACAGAGCAGGTGGAGTGGGATGGACCTTGGCTGCCTTTCCTTACTCTCTTCTCCATTATTGTCATTGTGAATGTGTGTGTACAGTGTCTCTTTGGAGTGCTTCTCTCTCCACCGAGGCATAAGGGCTGAGCTCTACTGCACTCGGGGGACAAGGCATACAGTAGATGAATCCTGTCTGCCAAGTTTGTCCCAAGGGGTACTCAATAAAATGACTGGTTCAGAAGCATGAACGTGTGTTTTTGTCTTTGTGTCTGTCTTTTGTTGTGTTTAAGCTTATTTCCACAAGTCACTGTTTTTATTCTTTTGAGAATTGTAACATAGTAATAGGCTTTTTATCCAATGTGGTGGTGTACATACATACTGTATATAAAAATTGGGATGGTATGTAAAATCAATATTTTAACTAACGATTGTGACGTGTAAAGCAACATATATGTGCAACACAGAAGAAAAAGCATATGGACAGGGATTCTCTGTGGGCACAGTGTGTCTGCAGATTTCCATCTTTTTCTTAATCACTTTGTGTTATGATGTGATCCTACTCGACATTTTGTTGCTCTGTGTCTTTCTCACTGTTTACCACTTTCATCAACAAATGATTCATGCAGCAACTGTTGTCCAGTCCTATTGCGTCTATCTACACTACAGAATTCAGTTACAGTGACTTAATGAACATGCACTGTTGACCTCAGGTTTATCCTATCCAGTCACATAGCTTTATATTCAATGTTTATATTAGATTTTCCCAAATATTTGCTGGGCCACTGCACCTATTATCTAAAAGATTATATTAGTTTTTAGATTGAGTTCAGTTATTCCATTTACCCAAAAGATCGGTGCAGTTTTCCTGGTTTGTTCCTCTTGACAAGCAGGTGCTATGAAGCAAAAATTGTTTTGGGGGCTGGATTTCCACTGAGATTTAGGAGGTTCAAGCTTTATGCAGCAACCCATTTCTTGTTCAGCTGTTGTAATTTTAAATTGTGCTGTGCGTGGTCTGTACCTTTCTCTACACGAACAATTTGAGTTGCATGATCATACAGAAGATGTATGAATTATTAAGTAATCATTGCTCTCGGTGTAGTGACAGTGGGGTACCAGTGCTGAAATGCAGTCGTCTGAGATGCAAACCTTTACAGTTTAAATACGTTTTTTTTATATTTATGCTTCATAATGTAATTTTGGCTTATTGATGCACATTTGTTTTTTTGTTTTAGTATCATGCACAACATACAGATATTTCCTAGAATCTCTGCTATTCATTTGTAGTAGTTTGTTTCTCAAGTGGGGTATTTACCAATAAGCATGATGATCATCAAATTATTATTAAATTAGTAGTTTCTGAGGGCAGCACAAGATAATGTACTGTAATTGCTACAAAGCTTCTGCCACACTTGAACTATACTCACAGTTATTAACCTGTAGCCTCAGTGCAGGACTGTTCCTAACGAGTGGAAGAACAGTACTGCACCGTCATATTTCACCAGCACCACTTTCAGAAATATAGTGTTTAAAGCACTGTGTTAAAAAGTCTGTACTATTTTAACATGGAACATAGAAACTTTGTTGGTAAGATGCACATTTTAAAAGTTGATACTCCACCATACAAGGGTTTTCATAGAAACCATTATAAAAGATCAGTCTGTGAGGTCAGTGTGTGTTTTAGGAAAGTCAGACATGATTTTGGTGGGAACCGGTATTAACAATTGCAAGAGAAGCTACACCAGCCTCATTAAGAAATGTATACTGTGATGACATTGTTTAACGGAGTCTCCTTGTGGATGTTCTCTCTCTTTTTTATGCCTTTGCACTGGCAGCAGCCATTCCCAAAGACATTATTATAACATATTTATTCACTTTGGCTTATAATATTGTCTGATGTTTTCTTCTTTAACTATTCATTCTGTGTAATTTGTATGTTTATGTTCCTATTTTGTTTTATTCCTGTATTGATCTCATTTATTTTAGTTCTTACCTGTCCTTGTAAAGTACTTTGGTCAACCAGATGTTTTTAAAGTGCTATATAAATAAATTTTGATTTGATTTGATTATGTTGTCTGTCCATATGTCTGTCCCATTTTTGTGAACGTTACAACTCAGGAATGTCTTGAGGGGATTTATTTTAATTTGGCACAAATGTCCACTTGGTCTCAAGGCTGAGCTGATCACTTCCTCTCCCTGAATGACAACCAGAACTGGGAGCCTCGTGTTCCTCTGGTAGTCCATCATAAGCTCATTGGTTTTACTGATATTGAGCTTCAGGTGGTGGCTGTTGCACGATGTGACAAAGCTCTCTGTCAGTCCTCTGTACTCTGTAAAGCTAGCCTCTAAGTAAAGGCAGCATGTTTCACAGTGGAAATTATTCACTAGAATCATACATGTCAATACAGTGACAACTTCCCTTTTGCCAAAAATGCACTTAATATATTTTAAGTTCCCTCAAAGCCTTGACTACATGCATGTGAACTCTAACTTGACTGTTTGGCTGAGGCATACAGCTGTGAGCTGACAAATCAAACCATTTACATCCTGATTGTGTTTTTAGCTGTGCGCAGATCACTCCTGCTCCTCTCTAGCAGGCGTTGTTTTTATGCTAGTGTGTAGCCCACTAGCATTTTTATGCTCTTTTTTTATAGTTATTCTTAGCCTCACCCATAGACATCATGTCACTCATCTTTACATGCAGTCTCCCAGAAGTGAACCCACCACATGTCCATCCCCCCCGGTTGCACTTTAGGTCATAAAGCCCTTCCTCTCCAACAGATGGGACACGAGCCAAGCTATGGAGATGTGACAGGAGTGCCTGCATGCACAAGTTGTTAAATGGGGAGGAGAGATAAACGAAGGCTGGAGAATGAGCAAGAGACTGAGAATGAAAGTAAGCTTTAGTGGATCTCAGAGCACAGCCTGGTTAAATATATGGCAATAGCAATTTCTCTGTTTACCTTTTCAGTCTGTTCTTGCAGGTTTTTCTGCTTTAGTTTTATTCAGGGCAGAGTGATATGACTGCAAAAAACAACATCCCAAAAAGCTATTACCTGAAGTTTATTATTAGTTTTTAAGTTGTAGTCAGAGATTTACTAAGATATTAACCGTTTATAATACAAGTTATTAAATTATGCTCCAGTTAGTCTGATGACTGCGTGTGTATTTACAGTATATGATCGACGATTACAAATATGAGACATGAACATTGTTGGTTCAACTTGTGCTAAACCCTTAGAAATTGTTTGTTCATTCCTTTCTGACTACACAGATGGACCTAACTGAAGTCTTCTTTTTGCGCTGTGAGGGCTTGTACCTTCTCCTGAAATCTGTCCTCATAAAATTAACAGTTTAGTCTGGATCACTTATGTAAACTCTTCTCTCTACAGGGCATCAACATAGTGGGGCCCAGTAATGCAGAGCTCCCACCTCGACCTGCCAGTCCAGCCATGTACCAGCTGGATATTGTCCTGAAGAGAGGGAGCAACCTGGCTATAAGAGATCGGACAGGTATGAGCTCTGCTTTTTTTAGTTCCTGTTAGTGAAAGGGCATTTACGTTGATGTGGAGAGACACGAACAGCTTCATCAAGCCTCTATCTATCCCACCAAATTAAAGCCACACTATCCTGGTCTTTGTCCACCTCTCTCAATTGCTTTGTCACTGGCACAGGCAGTGGAGCACCCAGGATGCTATCATCCTCTAAGAGCTGACCTGTTTTATGTTTAGCCTCACTGTTATTTTATTTTTTATTCATCTGCTAGATCTTTCCCTCCCACCTCAATTTTTTTAATACCCCTATTTTTGCCAGTGTAATATTTCTCTTGGCGCTGTTTTTTTCTATACACTTTTAATTTTCTCACATTTTGCTCCTTTTCCTCTCTCTTTTCACTCCGGGTTTTATTAAATCTCATCGTCATAGCTCGTTCCATTTTCACTGTGTAAAGTGAGATGGAGTGATATGGCACGTGTGTCTAGGTGTGAAAAGAATTTGGCTTTCTGTTCAGCTAGAACATTGGCACATTTGGAGCCAAGAAAGTTGATACTAGTGTGACCTCCTGGGTATTTTTGTACAATATCACCAAATCCTACAGCATGATTTCCTCTTCACTACCCAGTGTGATATACTCTAGGCAGTGTGATCAGCGGTTTTAGTTTAAGTAAAGGCTAAACAGTATTGTTTGTTGTTCTATACTAGCTGTACTTTTGCACAGGATTCCACATTTTGTGATAATTTGGGAACTTTAAAAAAACCAAAATCAGACACCACAAAAAAGAACTGAGTGGCCCTTCATAAATGGTTGAAAGGGGTCAGAAGGAATTAATTCATTGACTTTAACTCAATGAATTTAATTCATTGTTTGTACTTATTGTGGGAAGAAAAAATATATCTATTATTTGCACCACTATAAAAGATATCATCTCACATTAAGTGCAGGACAAAGCCCACTGTGGAAGCTGACTGAACACAACGCTCTTGGTGAGTTTGAGTAGGCGATTGTGTCTTGCATAGTGGAAAGGCCAGTCAGATAAAATGAGCAAGGCCAGAGATTTTCTTATAAACCCTCATCGACAGAGGTGTGGATAGTGACAGGTGCCGAGGTTTCATTAGTGGTCGTAGCAGTCACCTTTGACAACAGACTGAATAAGCTGCCCTGCTTTTTCCCATGCCTTTTGCCTGACTACCTCTCCACCCGGATAATGAGCAGGCAGGTGCAGAGCTCACCTGTCCTGTCTTCAGTCCCTGAAGACAGCTCATTACAGAGAGGTACAGCAGGCTGTAGTATGGACTTAATTCAGTAGCAATAATGTCTCATTAATAGTCAGTGGTCAAACATATGCTTTATGTCAGTCAATGCTCAGAGAGGTTGTGAATATATACACCAGTTGATGCTAAATCTCAACATATGTCGGGGTACTCACATGTTGCTGCCATCATACATCAGGCAAAGGATAAATTGCAGAAGAGACAGACAGGATTGGTGGGATTTTCCCATAACCAATCAGTCCAGGCTCCCGTGTCAGGCAAGTACACTAGAGAAAATCTGGGTTGTCAGATAAAAGTAGTTTGATGGTGGAAGCAATTTAGTCCTCCTACTGTATTGATTCACTAAAAGCTCTGACATAAATTATATATGGCACAAATAGTTTCCAGTTTTGACAGGAAAACATTTTAATGCATAATCTTTTCAGAAATACCTCAGATTTCAGGAGATTCAGACCTTGAGTTTATAGCCGAACACAGACAGAATGACTAACATCAAGTCAGGCATTGGTGAAGGGTTATAAGAAGCTAACAGAAGCACACATTAGTCTGAAAGTACAGCTCTGATGCTTGCCTCAGTGTTATATGCACCCCAAGACAAGGTTGGGTAGCCAGACACAAAAGGAGAAGGGAGAGGGGCTCATGGATGAGGGGCATCGAGTTCCACTGTACATTGTCTTTCCTTGATGTCCCTTCTGTGGAGCTGACAGTGATGAAGGGAGCTTTATTTGTGACTGAGCGAAACAACAAGGGTAAGGGATCATCTGAAGTTGAAATGGAACAGCCCTCACAGCCAAGTAAAGATGTTTCCAGTTGAAGAGATATTAGCATGCAACTCTTGGAAAAGTGAATACAAATAATGTGATTTTAAAAAGACTGACGGTGTAGAATTCGTAATGGCAGCAAAATGCTGGATATTACAGATAAAATTGTGCCAAACCATTGCTTTCAGCTGTTTACTTTTGCAGTGCTCCTCACTTTCTTGATTAATTAGGGCTGGTGTTTTTTTTATATATTTTGAAATTTAGAAAAATTAAAAAGCCTTTTTTAAAAACTATAATACATCCATAATTCAGTACTGTAAATAACCAGACACCAGAAGATTCATCAGCTCATCTTGCATTTGTACCCAGAGTTCCTTTCTGTAATGCAGCAATCAACTCACCATTTAGTTTCACCAGTCAACTTGTCCACCCTCCTGTTACAGTAAATTGTAGTATGATCTTCATTTGTTTGATGTGTTTACAACGGTGACAGGTCTTTTTTTCTAGTGTTGATGTGTTTGCACAATTTAAAATAAATCTTCAGTGACATTCCTCTATTAAATCAGTGTGCTTGACAGTTCCACCCATCTATTAACTAACCTTGCTTATCTGTGAGGTTCCCAGGGCGCGGAAGCTGACAGAACCGTTTTTGCTGTGAGGTCATACTGCACTGTGCCGCCTGAGTCTCCCAACTGGAAGGTTGAAGGTTCGAATCTTGGTGGCTGCAGTCCACATGTCGAAGTGTCCTTGAGCAAGACATTGAACCCCCCAAGTTGCCCGTGATGGTGGTGCGTATGCACGCAGCGGCCCGGGGCCCTCAAATCCAAACTAAATTTCGTTGTACGTGTCACAATGTTACAATTACGATAAAATAAAGCTTCTTCTTCTTCTTTAGAAATGGGATTTATCTTAAAGCACTCCAACAAATTAAACTACATATGAAATATAATGTAAGCATCTCGTTACTGGCCACAGAAAAGCCTCTGCTTCAGTTGTCGACAGCTGTCAAAAACTCACCCTCTTGCACATGTGCATTTCTGCTGAGCTGCAGGTGCTGTCAGTTTGTCTGTGGGGCTTCATTGCTTACAGAAGATGGTAGACAATGAATACAAGCCAGGAACTCAGTGCAGTCATTGACATGACATAGTGACAAGCCAGTGTATATGAACACTGTCTCTACCTTAATGTATGATGGTATTTTATGGTGTTAAGCCTGAAAATCTTTGTAATTATATATGTAAATATTAGTGACAGTAGGGGAAATTCAGCTTAGGAAAATGCGCCCATCAGCTATCTCTTCAACACTTGACCAGTGTTTCTTCATTTGTCTCCATATGGCACTCAGAGGTTGGTGGTTATCTGGCTGAGTCATCACAGTACACAGACCTCCAAGGTTGCCTGATAGGAGGGAAGAGATATCACTTGCACACTTTTCTGGTGTTAACCAGACAAGCTATTTGGGAGCTTTTTTAATACAACTACAACTTGCCAGCATTGTTGAGTTTCTCTTCAGCCTGTACAGAGTCAAACCAGTATACAATCAGAAGAAGTGTCTACTCTATGATTTCCCATCTAATCGTTTCTGTTCATTTACACCTACCTCTGATAATGTTGTATTGAATTTAAAATGCAAGGAGAAAGGTATTAACATTAATATGCTTGAATGAATAATGAATAAGTTGAATGAATAAGGTGACTGCCACATAACTAAAGTCTTCATCATTTATGTAACTACAAAAGCAGCCCTAGAATAACGCATTTTCCTTTTCATGGTTACTCTCTCAGCCCAGCAAATTCAACTTGTCAGATAACCTTGTTCTATATGTGTCCCCCAGGGTCCAAACCTTGTCGTAACTGTCATATATGGGGAGGTTCTGCAGCTTTGTAGAGGATTTCAGATGAAAACACACTGCCCTCTGTCTCTAACCCTGTGGTACTTCTGTGTGGGTGAGGCACCACATGGTGAAGCTTGTCCGTAGTGTAGTACCTGACACAGCATCCTATCTTCCTATCGGGCAATACCTGTGTGTGGAGGATGCACATATTTAACATTTTATGCCTTTTGTATGTTCTGTCTTTTGACTTGATCCTTGAATTTTAGAGAAAAGTATGTGAGTTCAGTGCAATTAAAAAACAACTTCAAAGCACATGAACACACTGGAAGTCTTATAGCTTAATATAAAAATCTGGAGTGGAGGTTGACTCATGGTTGCTGCAGCTGTATTAACTGATGACCACATTATAGCTACAGTATGTGTCCACTAGGTATCAGCTAAATCTTGACAAAACTGAAATGGCTATATTCCACCTTTGTCACTGTACCTTTTTGGATACAGTTTCTAAAACTAAAGAGCTTCTAAATATGGAGCAGCACATGTTTGTCCAGTTTATCTCTGGAGTATTGAGTCAATTTGAGCTGTCCAGGTTTTCAAAATTACCATATTAGTATTATTTTTGTAATGCATTATGCTTCAAAGTTCTTCTAAAGCATTTGGTTGAATGGTCCCTCTATAGCACTGAAACAGATGAGTGGACTCCTGATAGACAGATAGATAGATACTGTATTGATCCTGAAGGAAATTCAGGTATCCAGTAGCAACAGCAAAGATTACCAAAATCACAGCACCCAAGGTAAAGAAATGTGTAAAAGTATAAGACTAAAATACAAGGGGAAAAGTGTATAAAGAAAACAAGAGAAAAGTATAAAAATAAGAGTAAGTAATGTGTCCCAGGTATACAGTATACACAGGGTAAATAAGTAAATGTGAATGATGTACCTGTGTACAATGCCAATATGTGGCAGTATGTGCCAGTATACACATTTCTACCACCTGGTGTCTTTTTACTGTCCCATTATCAATCAGGTATGGTTTTTATTTACTTTCTTCAGCTATACATTAGATTCTTCTCCCTTAGGAGTGGTCATTTCATTTTTGGAGCTAAAAATGTGGTCCGTTTACAGCGGATGACCACAGAAACATT